CAGCCCCTAGGAAGGGAACCCGAGGTGGACCCATTGTCTAGCACTGTCCCTTGACATGCAGTCCTAGGTGGCCTATGCAGGTGACATTGTTAGTAATAAGATAGATGATGTAATGATGATAGTAATAGTAATAGGTAGTAGCTAGTAATGAGAAAGGTGATGTCATGAAGGTAGTAATAAGATAAATGATGATGGAGTCCTAGGATGCAACCCCTATGCACGAGCGCAAGTCCACCCCACTGTTATACTGCATTCCCTGAGGTTACTGCCAACCTCCTGTGGTCAGCAGACCTTCGATAGAGGTGGGGACCATGAGGGTGGTTATAGCAGCAGCTGAGAACTCCCTGAGCTTGTTCCCTGGGCCAGGCACTGCACCAGGCTGGGCATTGTGCATACCTGTCTCAGCTCATCCCCAGGCCCCTAGGAAGTAGGTGATGTCGTTATACCCATTCTACAGACACACCAATGCTAATTCCAATAACAGTAACTCACATACTGTGTTACTTATGTGCCAGGCCCTCTTCTAAGACCTTTCATTCACTAACTTATTTAGCCACCCCTCTCCCAGCAACCCTTTGAAGGGGATATTATCATTGTCTCCGTTGTGTAGATGAGGAAACTGAGGCCCAGAAAACCTTGCCCAAGGCCGACAGCTAGGAAGTGGCAGAGCCAGGATTTGAACCCAAGCCTCTGGGCCCCAGTGTCCTAACTCGTGGAGCCAGAGCAGTGGTTACTATCTGCTAACTGTGCTCCAGGGGTTGTGTTTATTTTCCCCAGGATCCAGCACGGGGGTCTCGGAATAGCAGGGGACAGTATACCTTAGTTGAATAGTTTTCTGACAGGTGATCAGTGTGGTAGATCATTAGTTAATCATTATCATTGGGGCCACCATTGCTTGAGCTGTTCCGAGGCCCACCCTGCCACGGAAGCTTTGGGATATGTATCTTAGTGAACCCTAAGACCCCTTCAGTGGTGCCAGCTCATATTTGCCTAGCAATTTAAAGCTTCACGGACCCTTTTAACCAACATCCTGTCCTGGGATCCTCAGAGAAATCCTTGGTGCCGGTGTTACTAACGTCCCTATGTTATGGACGACTGGCCCAGGCTCACTTGGCTGCAAGGCAGAACGGGCTGACCCAGGAGGGGAGGGAGACCTGGGCTTTGAGGGCAAGAACTTTTCCCTTTTCTGCTCAGAGCCCTGAGTTAAATCAGGGTCGGGACTCTGCTGGCTCAGGTGGCTGTGACCAGGGGTCCCTGTGTCCTGCGGTGCCCCCACCTGACCAGCATGACCCCAACCCCGGGGACAAGGCCTCACCCCAACCCCTGTGAGGGCAGTGGTTGCCCTGGGAGCCTGCCCGATGCCCAGATACTGGCCCCATGCACGCTTTGCTGCAGCCCTGTAACCTGCCCCTGCGACAGAGGCTCCTTCCTCTAATTAGGTCGAATGGGTTGTGACAGGAAATGCAAATCTGGGTCATTGCATATGCTGATGTGCAGCCGGAGTCGCAGGATGCCGACTGTGATGTCACCCACGTTGGTGAGCAGCTTTGGGCCCCCCATGGAGCCGGGCAGGAGGCCTCCTGGGCACATCCTTGGGACAGGCGATGAGTGGCGAGGGCTCTGGCCAACCTCCCACTCCAGGGACCCTTGAAGGTCATGTCCTCTGAACTCTTCACTGCATAGAGGGGGAAACTGAGGCCCAGAGAGGGGCAGGGCCCCACTCCATGTAACCTGGCAGCACAGCTGTGTGGTTAAGAGCTCGGACTCTAGATCTGATAGAGAGTTCAAGTCCCAGCTCCCCCCTCAACTAGCCATGTGACCTGTGCCTCAGTTTGTTTATTTTTAAAATGCGATTAGTAGCCCTTGCTTTACAAGGCTGTTACGAGATTTAAGTCATAAATAGGTACCTGCTACACGGCAGCTTGTTGGTATTTTCATGAGTGTCTCTGATTCTTCCATGTACCAAGAAAGGAGTCTTGGCTTTTTATGAGGGTGTGGGATTTGGGCTGCATTTCGAGGTGGCAGTGGCTGGACCACAGAGTCCCACTGTGCACCAGGATGTTTTGAATGCCTTCTTTTGCATCGTTCAACAAACACTTCTCGAGCACAACGCGGGGGACTTAGAAGGGACTAAGACAGGGCCCCTGTGGTCTGGGGGGCCAGGTGGGGCACAGGCCTCTGGCTCAGGCAGCTGGAAGTAGCAGTCTGAAGCAGGAAGTGCCAGGCATTGCTAGTCCTGGGGTCTTGGAGGAAAAGCAGAATCTGAATTGGGAGGTCACCAGGTAGAGAGCAAAGAGCTTAGGCTGTGGCTTCCCCAGCCCTGGCTTCAGACCCCAGCTCTGCCATTTCTCACTGTAGGATCTGGAGCAAGTCATTGCCTGCCCCCTGCCCCCTGAGCCTGGGTTTCCTTCTGAGGACTCCATGAGATGGTGCATGGAAAGTGTGTGCACGGTGCTTGGCACACAGCAAGCACTCAGTAAATGCCAGCTTTTCTTAGAGGGCTCAGTGTATAGGCAGGTTAATTGCTGTAGAAAGAATTTCCCCGACACAACATTTGGCATGTGGTGGGTAGATCATCATCTTCCTCCTTCACCAGCCAGGAGTGCCTTCAGATCACCCATATGGAGGTAATTATGCCTCATGACTTCAAAGTCACGGTTGTCCCAACTTTTATCTTGCCGAGGGAAGGAGGAAGCATGAATACAGGGCTGCGAGACTCAGACTCCCACGGCTCCTGGCAGGCGAGCACACACTAGGGTTTTGTTGGCATGGAGCTGGCACAGCACAAAAGGGCTGGGTGCAGGGACCGGGGAACCTGCTGCATGGGGTCTCCGTGGCACCTCCAACCTGCCCTGTCAATAACAGCAGTGGCCACTGAACACCTACTGTATGCTGAGAAGTTATTTTTGCTGCTTTCTCACATGACCCTCATAACAACTCTATGAGATGTGTATGCTTCTATTATCTTCACTTTATAGAGGAGGAAAGTGAGGCACAGAGTGGTGTGTGCAATTTCCCAAGGTCACCAGCAGTGCACTGGCAGACCAGGACTGGAAGCCATGCTCTGAACCCCATACTCCACTGCCAATCACACATGGTTCCAAAGGCTCCTTCCAGGTTGTATTGGTCTAAATGCTTGTATTTGTGCTAAGGGAGAATTCTAGAATGCAGCCTAATCCCTAGATCTTCCACCCTTGTGGATGCTTCTGTAAGAGGCATTTTCATCTCAGAAAATTCAACTGCTGGTTTCTGCTTTAATGGGTCTCTCGGTGTTTCGAACGTATCTTGTCTTGGAAAAAATACAGCCAGAATGCTCCTTCGAAGTGAGAATGATGAGACTTTGTCTCACTTACTTTGGACATGTTAGCAGGAGGGACCAGTCCCTGGAGGAAGGACATCATGCTTGGTAAAGTGGAGGTCAGCGAAAAAGAGGAAGACCCTCAACGAGATGAATTGACACAGTGGCTGCAATAATGGGTTCAAGCATAACAATGATTGTGAGGATGGCGCAGGACCGGGTGGTGTTTCATTCTGTTGTACATAGGGTCGCTATGAGTTGGAACTGACTCAACGGCACCTAACAACAGTAAGACATTACTGAGCAGTATTAATGACTACGACTTCAGTGCTTGGTAAAGTAGAGGGTCAATGAAAAAGGGGAAGACCCACAATGAGGTGGGTTGACACACTGGCTGCATGGGCCCAAGCATAGCAATGATCATGGGGATGGCGCAGGACTGGGCAGTGTTTTGTTCTGTTGTACATAAGGTCGATATGGGTTGGAACTGACTCGATGGCACCTAACAACAATTATGTTTCTTGCCCTGCCCCCGCCCAACTGAACTTAACAAACGTTTCTGTGCATCTGCTATGTGGGAGACATCCAGCAATGATGAAGACCCAGTCCCTGTCCTTGTGCCACCATCAAACTGGGGAGGGGGTCCCTAGGGTCAGCCACCCACCTCCCCAGAATGAGGAGTGGGGCTATAGCAAAAGTGAGTCCTGGCACTCCTGGGAACTCGGGGGAGGGAGAGGTTCTGCCCAAAACCATCAGGGAAGGCTGCATGGAACTATGAGCTGTGGGCAGGGCTGGCCCCTCTGGGCCTCAGTTTCCTCATCTGTCAAACGGAGACGTAACAGGAACTGTCTGGCCAAGTCGCCCTCTCCCCTCCCCTCCTCCCTTTTCCAGGGCCTGGTGTTGGCGCCCCCTCCTCCCCTTTCTTGAAAGCATGTTTGTGCGTGTGTTCCGGGGGCGGGAGGGTTCATGGCCACTTGCCACCTCACCTGGTGGCTCCATCCCTGGGCAGGTCCTACAGCTTAATCGTAGGTTTCAATGCTGGCCCTGCAGAATCATCTTTTAAAGTCTTTGGTTTCTTCATGTCATGGTAAAAGGGACAGTTTACCCAGAGAATGGGCTCAGATGTAAGGCTACAATGTTGGCTAAGCCAAGCAATCAAGATTTGCCTTGGTTTTCTCGTCTCTGAGTTGAGGGAAGGCCACCCTAAGAGGAACTTGCCATTTCTTGTGATGACCTGAGGGGCTAGGGTTGGGATATTAGAGTGGGGGGGCTGAAGAGCTGGGCTGTGGGACTGGTAAGACCATGCTGTCCAGCCCTCAGGGTCCCTCCGCATCCTTGACCTTGGCAAGTCACATCACACCTCTCGTGCACCTGGGCAAACAGTGAACAAGGCATATGAGACCCCAGCTGCACGGAAGCAGCCTTCTGGGTGCAGGAGACAGAGAATGAGCAAAGGTACCAGTAAATCCTGTAATTAGAGATGGTGGTGAAAGTGCAGTGAAGGAGATAAACAGCCTCAGTTCTTAAACCTGCAGCGTGGGGTAGTTGTGGGGATTAAATGGGGCTGGTGGGTAAAGGACCTGTGGGCATGTGGGAGGCTCTCAATAGCAGGGCTGGTAATGAAAGTCCCTTCTTCACCTTGAGGGGTACTGCTGGGGGTTCCAGGTCCAGGCCCTCAACTCCCCCTGTTGCTCCCCTCCAGAGGCACCCGACCGCCCTGTCTTTTCGCTGCTCGCTGGCAGACTTCCAGATCGAGAAGAAGATAGGCCGTGGGCAGTTCAGCGAGGTGTACAAGGCCACCTGCCTGCTGGACAGGAAAACTGTGGCTCTGAAGAAGGTGCAGGTGAGCTGATGACCCTGTAGGGTCAAAGCCATGTCACAGGAGTGGCTCCTGTATCTAAATGGTGTGGCCCTGGGCTAGCCCCTTCCCTTTCCTTCATCTGTAAATGAGGGAAGTAAGTACCCAACCCACTGGGCCAAGGAGGGAGAGTATCAAACAAGAAAAGGAACAATGAGCATGTGTTGAGCACCTGCTGTATACTAGGTTGCACTAGGAGCTTCGCACAAGTAGCCTCATGAAACCATAACAGCCTTGCCGTGGATGGGGATCACTGTCTCATTTTTCAGACGAGGATGCACTGCCACAGAGTTAAGTAACTCACCAAGGCCACAGAGTGAGTTAAGGGGGTGGCGAGATTCAAACCCACATCTGACTCACTTGGATGCCTGTGTTTGCGCTGCACTTCTGGGCTCCAGTGTCCTTCCCAACCTCCTTGCCCCTCCCAGGTGGAGGAAGAAGTGTTGAGCAGATGGGGTTTAAGCAGCCAAATCAGGCCAGGAAGCATTTAAGCGAGAGCCACTGGGCCCATTTTGCTGGAGGAAATTGGCTTTAAATCCTTCAGCAAAGCTTTCTGAGTCCCTCAATTTGCTCATTTGTCCTTAAAGAAGGAGATTAACAGCCTGGGCCAAGAGTGCCCAGGAGAGAGAAGGCAGTTCCGACGAAGTCATGGTTTGGGGCAGACAGGGCAAAGAGGCCAGCTTGCTCATTTCTTTGTTATGAATGTTACATGCAGCTTCTGATGGTCCTGGCTGGCTGGGGGGATGATTGAACCCTCAGTCCAGGAAAGACCTACTTTCTGCTCTTCATCTTCCAAGGAGGCTATCACCTTGGTTCATTTTATCTTGTTTTTTTCATGCCATGATGTGTTTTGTGATGGGGCTGCTATAATGTCGACCTTTTGTTTGAGCTACAAGTCTGAAAGTACTGGAAGGAGCTCACGTTTAATGAGCGCCGTGAGGCTGTGGGGAAAGGGGCCCCATGCTGGGTGCTTTACCCACGTCTTCTTAGTCCCCACAACTACCCTGTGAGGTCAGGCTACTGTCCCCATTACAGAGGTGAAAACTGAGGCTCTGAGCATGTTTCCTGGCCTGCCGCTTGCCTGCTGTGTGACCTCACTAAGTGACTTGACTTCTCTGAGCCTCAGCCCCTGCAAGTTGAGAGTGGTAAGTCCTGCCTCCTGGGAGTTGTCGCAGTGCCTGGCATACAGTTAGTGCTCAGTAAGGGAACATTATCATTACGAGGGGCTCTCTGTGAGGAGGTGGGGGAGCAGGACTTGAACCCAGGTCCTCATGGTTTCCTGTAGGGGCGCTGGGCACTGTGTTTTAACTCCTTGTTTTTCTTTTCCTCCCTCCCAAGATATTTGAGATGATGGATGCCAAGGCAAGGCAGGACTGTGTCAAGGAGATTGGCCTCCTGAAGGTGAGTGTCCTGGGCCAAGCGGCTTCCCCTCACCTCCTAGGAGTGACCTGAGCTCCAGGCTGGGCTGTGCCATGTCCAACATAGTCCACGGGCAGCAGGGATCCAGAGCCTCCATGAAGTTCTAAAAGCATTCCCGTTTGAGGGCAGCAGCACGTTTTCTCATGGCTGGGCAGGGGTTGGGGGACCCGCCTCACCTCTCTGCCCAGCCCTCAGGGCCCCTCTGTACCAGACTTAGCTATCCTTGACCAAATCAGTGCCTTGCGGTGGCCTGAGCACCCACTTGACTGAGAAAGGAGTCAGATGTGAACATTTGGTCAGACTGTGGTTCTGTCTGTCTGTCTTTTTCTTTTCCATCCTTCCTCTCAGCCTTTATTCTTTTATTTTCCATCTTGGCAGAGCACACACATGTGAATATTCAACCATGTGGGGGTGTTTGTCCCACAGGGACATGCCTGTCGGGGGTGGGTCAGCAGTGTCAGGTTGGGACTGTCAAGGTCAACTGGGGACTGAAGGTGCCCCTGTACGGTCATGCTGTTGGGCTCTTTCCCAGGCCTTCTGGAAGGAGAAGACAGGCCACACAGCTGGAGACTTCTTGGCTGCAGGCTGGGCTTCCCCAAGGGTGCAGCAGATGTGCCCACCCCTCTGTGGGCAGAACCTTGGTTCAGGCGAGGTGGGCTGACTGGACGGGGTTATACCAAGTGACAGATGTGGAAGGCCTGCCCTGGGCGAGGCATGCGATGCAGGGGTCTGTGGTCATCCCTTTCTTCCTCCTCGCTGCCTTCCGTGTCGGTCTCCCCAGGATCAGAGATAACAACTCTCTGGACTAGACTTTAGCCCTGACCTGGGGCGGCGCTCTCCTGGAGATTCCTCCCTAGTCCTCGTTCTTAGGATTCTGTCTGGGACCTCAGAGGTGATGGAGGAGCCTGGGAGTGGATAAAAGGTGTGAGCTTTGGAGGCACAGGGGCCTGAGTTCAAACCCTGATGTCTTTATTTACAAGCTGTGTGACATTAAGCAAGTGACTTAACCTCTCTGAGCCTCGATTTGCCCATCTGCTCAATGGCAAGAATACCTGGCACATGGAATCTGGGAGGATTGAGAGGATTAAATAAAATAATATCTAAAAAGCGCCCAGTGCAGTAGAGGGCACAGTAGGTGCTCACTCAGTATCCTCCTCCCTTCCCACAAAACACGCACAGTGTTTCCTTGGCAGCTTATGGTAAATTGGGGCTGCCTTTGGCAGGGAGGCCCACCAAAGCAGCAGCTGCAGAACTTCAGATCAGCAGTTGAGCCTGCCAGGCCCTGTCCTGGGTTCTCAGGCCTGGGCCCTGCCTTCCAGGCTGGTGGGGAACAGGTGGGCAGCAGATGGTGACTGTCTGGGGTGACGTGGGCTGGGGAGCCCAGGGGAAAACCACTTTCTGGGCAGGCGCTGCAGAGGCCAGGGCACTATCCTGGAATCATCTAGAAGGCTGAGTTGAGCCTGCTGCAGGGAACTAAACTGTGGATGGAGGAATGAGGCTGGAGAGGTTGATAGGGACAGATTGTGGTGGCCTCAGATGCCAGGCTGAGGACAACAAACTTGAAGGTGGGAAGAAAGGGGAGCCACTGAAGGGGTGTTAGAGCCAGGGTGGGGGCGTGGTCAGATGTGAGCTTTTAGCCCTTGCTGTGGCGGCCAACAGTAGGTCACAGAGGCGAGTCTGGAGGCCAGGAGGCCTGTGGGAGGTGTCCTTAATTAATATTATAGCTCAAAAAATAGCCTTCAAATACTAACATATAAAAATCATAAGTAATGGTCAGCTTTGGGACTCAGTTGTGGTCTCTGGGACTCTGATTTTCCAAACTCTGGGGAACAGTTGTCCCAATGACTCACTCCCCTCCCTCCCCTCCTGGTGACCAAGAACCCACCTGTGCTGCTCACATCGAATGAAGGAATTGTGCATCGGATGTACTGAGTGCCCTTTTTGAGCTAGCCTGTTCCAGGTCCCTGAGCACAGAGATGTATGACCACCGCCCCTGCCTTGAAGTGGCCTCCACCTGGTGAGGAGCCCAGGCCACCTCATTTCCTCCTGGCCTGAGCAGGACCTAGCTGTGGAGGGGATTCTGTCCCCTTCTCCAGCGCTGCTGTGCACCCAGGTGCCACGGAGCATGGGCTTTGGAGGCAGGCACACCCTCGCTCCAGCTCACTGTAAAAAGAGGGTGATGATGAAGGCGTTTTCAAAGGTTTTGGGGAGTTGATATGTGAATGCGTTTGAAGAGCTCAAGCGCTCAGTCACAGGCGGCCCTTGTAATGTTATAACTTCTGCCTGGCAACCCCAGCCCCTTTTGTGAACACCAGTCCACCTCCCCAGCTGCCCACAGGAAGTCAACAGGATGTGCCAGGGGCATGAGGTGCTTCCTACAAAACAAAGGGAAACGTGATTCTCAGAAGGGACACTGGGCGACCTCATTCCGATCGTTCATGCCAGGACCCCAAAACCGAAACTTCCCATCACAATGGTGTTGAGGTTGGTGGTGGCCACACATGGGGCAGGAAGGTGAGGACCCGTCTGAACATAGATGTAGAGTCAGCACATTGTTTCAACACCACTGAGAGCTAGACCCGGGGGATGCAGCCAAGTGAGGGAGACTATAGGACAGACAGATCCATTCCCTATTTTGTCAGGAAAGGCCGTGAGTCCCAGAGAGCAAAGCCCTGACAGCAGAGAGTCAAACAAGATGGGGCCTGACATTGCTGGCATTTTGTTCTGCCCCCCCGCCCCATGCACCCCTCAGCAGCCACCACCACAGCCAGGGCTGCCCCGGGGCCTCAGGTATGACTCCACCCCGAGGAGCTCAGTGCGTGGCAGAGAGAGATTTTGCCGTAAGAAGAGGGATGGAAATGAGGTGTGAGACATGGGAGAGGGAGGCTGACTGAGGGCCGCCAGGGCTGGCTTGGGAAATGAAGAATGAGGAGTGTGTGGCTGTGTGCTGTCTATCAGCCGCCTGTTGCCTTAGGAGCCAAGGATGGGCACAGGTCGGCGTGCAGCACAGATGCCTGCCCCCTCCCAGCAGCGTTGGGCCTTTTAGAAAATAGACTGTAAATACAGCCTCTGGTTGTCAGCTGACAGAGCCCTGTGGATTGGACCTCATATTATGACAGAATAGTTGAGCCCCCTCCGCATCCCCCAGATTTTGGTGCGAAGAGTCAATTTTGGTTATAACAGCCCCTGTTTTGATTTTACAAACCACAGCAGTTGCCAGGGTATCCTTTCGGCCAGGCAGGGGCTGACATTTAACAGGCGGGGCACCCTCATATCTGGGATCCCTGCGGCAGCCTCAGCAAACACATGGGCTTAATGGGTAGGTGAAAGGCAAATTTGTCAGGGTGGCTCTCCTGCCAGGATTCTACGGGGGTGGGTCAGCAATTGAGTAAGAGCAAGAAGGAAGAAGGAAGGAGATGAACAGTCTTGAGCACTAGCTGCAGCCCGCACGTACTGAGCACAGGGACAGAGCTGTGGGGGCCTGGCCCTCCCTTGAGGGTCCTGGGTAGTAATGACAGTGATGACTGTGATGATGATGATGGTTTCCACAACAGTCTATTGAGTCATAGCTCTGGATCAGGCACTGTTAGACACTTCAAGGGCATTAGCCCATCTAATCCTCTCAGCTGCTCTTCAGAACATTATGCCCATTTTATAGATGAGGAAACTGAGACTCGGGTGCAAAATGGCTTTCCCAATGTCACCCAGGAGCCCTGGTGGCTCACTGGCTAACAGTTCGGCTGCTAACCAAAAGATTACCAGTTTGAATCCACCACCTGCTCCTCGGAAACCCTGTGGGGCAGTTCTACTCTGTCCTGTAGGGTCGCTATGAGTTAGAATCGATTCAACAGCAATGGGTGATGTCACCCAGGTATACCTGACTCCCAAGGGCAGGCCTTTCCCCCCAGCAACTGCCTCCCCAGCAAATACCAGGGGTCTCGTTATTGGGTGCCAGCTGGGCACCAACACGGGGCAGGCGCTGGGGCTATGCTGTCTTTTATTGGTGCCCCCTCCCTCTTTCTCTCCTTGGGCAGCAATTGAACCATCCGAACATCATCAAGTATCTGGACTCGTTTATTGAGGACAATGAGCTGAACATCGTGCTGGAGCTGGCTGACGCGGGCGACCTCTCGCAGATGATCAAGGTGAGGGTGTGTGGCAGGAGCTCAGGGCTCAGGGACTGCCCCCGACAGGAGCTCGGGGGTAGGCAACCCCCTTCTAGCCCGAGCTCATCACTGCTCTGGCCTTAGTGGAGGTGGCTGCTCAGGGACATCCGCCCCTCTTGCCGATGCCCACAGGCCTCAGCTGTGGCCCCGTGAGTGCCTTCTCGGGCTCTGTCCCAGTTGCCATTGCTGAGTGCGCCTTTTCCTTTTCTTATCAGCCTCAGGGAAGCTCAGTGCATGAGAGCCTGGTCTGCACAAGCAAGGCAAAGACAATGCTTAGATGGGCAGGTGACTGGAAGAGGGCCAGCAATGGCCAGGAAGGACCCTCTGGCCGTCCCCCACTGCCCCAGCCTGCCCACAGGCACTTTGCCCGCTTCTCCCACCTCACAGAAGGAGGAGAGACAGCACCCCAGCCTAGGTCAGGCCCCAGCCCGTGGAATCTGGAGATGCATCTTATGCCTCATTTTATACAAAGGAAAACTGAGCTCAGGGAGGTTGAGAGACTTGCCAGGTCTCACGGGCAGCTCAATGCCAGGTCTGGCTCTTGCTCTGTACCCCATGGCAATCCCCACGCTGCTCTGCCCCCTTGCCCAACCTGCCATGTGTGGCTGGATTGATCTAGCACCTGCTGTGGGCCACGGCCAGACCAAGCATGCACGTGCACCATACCACACTGTCCTCAGAAGAGGAAAGCAGAGTCCAGAGAGGTTGAGCCACCTGCCTGAGGCAGGACAGCCTCAAAGTGGAGGAGCCCAGGTCTGCCTGACCCCCAGGTCCACCCTCAGCCTCACTCCCTGCTCCTCCACCAAGGCCCTCACCTCCCTGCTGGCCTAGACCTTGTTTCCTAGGCCCTCATTGCCCCCTCCCCAAGAGCCCAGTCTGGCTGGCTCCTGAGCAAGGCTGGGCCACCCTCAATCCCCTACCCTGGTCCCAGCCACACTTGGAAATGGTTCTCCGTCTTTCCCGCCAGGCACTGGGGAGTGAGCAATTGTTCACGCTTGCTCTTCTTAAATTTGGCTCTGAGGAATACGGGCATCATTGGGAAGCGTCATTACTTGAGCTGTTATCACCTGCTTTTATATTTTCGTTGACATATTAATGCATTTGCAGAGATGTTAATCTTCACACAGGTCCCTGGTGGGAACAGATGTGGTATATCATGTCTTAGTTCCTCCTTCTTTTCTTCCCCCGCCCCAACTTGTTTCTCCTTCACATGTTATTCTTGTGCTGCTCACGCATGCATCGAGTGCCCACTCCATGCCAGTTCTGTGTCAAGATCTGGGGGACCGCTGGCATGGGCCCTGCCCGAGGCACTCATATTCTAATGGGAAGGCAGGCTCATGAATGAGCAGTGTGAGCCTGTGTGAGCCAGCCAAGGCCAGTCCTCTGAGAGCCAGGGGAGCTTCCTGGAGGAAGTGACACCTGAGCTGAGACCTGAAGGCGACGGACAGTCTAGTGGCCTGAACAACTTGTGCAAGAGCCAAGGGGCATGAAAACCCCAGGAGTCTCCCAAGCAGTTTGGTCCACTGAGAGCATTAGGTGAGGAGAGGGAGGGAGAGTGTGAGGTGAGGGCGGTCAGATCACTGCAGGGTCTTGCAGTCCAGGCTCAGGACTTGGGACGTTGCCCCAAAGTCAGCAAGAAGCTCCCCAAGACCCGTGGCAAGGGAGTAACATGGCTGGTTTTGTGTTCTAGAAGAAAAATTGGGTGCCCAGTGGAGGGTGGGGGGCGGTGATGGGGAAGGAGGCGGAGGCCAGTGAGAAAGCCTTGCAGTGGTGGGGATGAGGCTCGAGCCTCCACCCAGCAGTGCTGGGTGGATGGACAGGAGGAGCAGGAGGTGGATGCATCCCACAGTGAGGGCACCGCACCCACTCAGGCCCAGCGGACCCCAGATACCCTTGTGGGGCTGGAGTCAGACAGTCCTGGTCAAATCCCTCCCTCTCCCTGCCCCGAACCTCAGTGTCCACTGTGTTCCTGGGACGAGAGCCCTGTGGGAACTGCAGGGCCTGATGCAAGCTCTTTCCAACTTGAAAAAGAGAGGAGGAGGCACGTGGGTGTCCATTACCCATTTGTTCCTGGCCTGGGGTCAGGGGGTATAAGGGACCCCTTTCCACCCTCCCCTTTACCCCATGCCCCTTCCCTGGGTTCCCTGGGTTCAAATCAGTCTCCTAACCCCATCAGGGCTGTGAGTACCAGCTGTGTGCAGATTGGGTTTCTGGGCAGCGGCCTGGTTGCCAGCTCCTCAGTCTGGCTTGGCACCTCTGGCTCAGGAATCCTCCTCTTCCTTCCCTTCCCCTGACTATTCCTGTTCCTTCCCTGGGCCTCTGATCCAGCTCACCAGCACAGCCTGGCTTGGTGCTGCCCCCAGCAAGCGAGAGAGGCAGGGATGGGTTAGTGGAGCGACCCCAGACCGAGAGTCAGACACACCCACTGGATGACCTTGGGCAGGTGCCTGTGCCTCAGTTTCCTCATCTGTAACGTGCCCGACATAGTCCCTGGTGCTTGGTAAGAGCTCAATTTTCCTGGCCTTTGTCACTCCAGCTGCCTCTGGGCTTCCAGGGGAATGAGGGCCTTGTCAGAGCCCAGCTGGCCTCTTCATGGTCACCAGCATGCCGGGCTGGCCTGGGAGCCTGCTGAGCAGCAGGCCCTGTGTCCCAAGGGCCTGCAGCCTCAGGAGCCAAGCAGCTCCACCATGGCCACAGTGCCAGCATTATTTACAAGGGATGGTGAAGCCAGGAGCTGCCACCACCTGGAAGCCGCCAGAGACTCTGTGCCTTCCCGCTAAATGTCAGGCAGCACTTATAGGACGTGACATTTAGAAAATCACCACTCACGGTTATGCACGTCCCGCTTAAATGCTGTAATGAGGATTAACCAACATCACAGCGTAAAATAACATTCCGGTCCCAGCCCACCACAGAGGCCCATGATGGCCCAGTGGGGGGGGGGGGTCTGTGCGGGGAGCCTGGGACGGCTCACATTCAAGGTCCCTTTCCCAGAATAGAGCCTTGGAAGAGCCTCACAGAGCTTTACCACAAGCCAGGGGCTGCCAGCTGTGACTGCTCCACTATTGGAGGTACAGGATCAGGATCCCGGCTCTGCCTCTCCAGCTGTGTGACCTTGGGCACTTTCCTGAACCTCTCTGAGCTCGAATACTGGCAGGAGACCTGGGACTGAGCTGTGACTCTGCCCCTCAGTTTCCTCATCTGTAAGATGGGCACAGTCATCCCTATTGAGGGCCCAGCACAGTGCCTGGCACACACCAGGTGCTCAGCACATGTGAGCTCAGGTCCTTTCTTCCATCTCAAGCCCTTTCCCAGGCAGGGGGAGAATGTCCTGGGTTGGGTTCCCATCTTTCCTGACCAGAGCAATGGAACCTCTGTCAGAGCAGCTGCCCTCACAAATGGCAGCTTTCCATTCACAGTGTCACCTCTGGGTTGCTCTGAATGGAAAGTCCCTGGACAAAAACCTGTTACTCAGGTTACTGGTGTCCAAGTCAGCATGACCCTGCCCCCTCCCTGCAAGCCCAGCCCTCAGCTCTGGGCCTGGCACCTAGGAGCTCCCACGGAGGGCTTGTTGACCTGAACTGTGGACAAGGTCATGTTCCCGTTTGCCCCTTCCAGGACCTTGTGTTACTTATTGCACACTCAGAGCATCCTGTTTTGACTTTGTTTTTAAATTTTCTGGAGCATTGAATATGTTTATCCAGGCAATGAAGTAGATTGATGCCTGTTGAAACTAGGGGGTCTATTGAGAATGCCGAAGTCTTTCCCGTGAGATTCTTGCCAGTTGTAAATGGTCACGTTGCACTGTGACTTGACGGGTCCGAGGAGGTGGGGGCCAGGCCCCTGGAGCCCTGATTCAACCATGGGATGTGTCCTGGTGCCCACCTCCTGGGCTAGGCCTGGGTTGGGGCTGGGGGCGGAGAGAGTCTACCCCAGGCCACTCTTGTAGGAGTTCCATGTCAGGAAGTTAGGGGAGGAGATGGACATGTGCCCAGAAGATTCCAGAAAAAGGGTGATTGAAAACAGCTTTCACCAAATGCATCGCAGGCATGCATTTAGCAGACCTGTCATGGACACCCACTCTGGGCAGGCCTGGGGACAGACACGACCCACCTCACCCTTAGGTAGCACGATTGGGTGGGGGGTGGACGGGTGGCCCACAGAGCGGGATTTGGGCGAAAGCAGCGGTGTGAACGCTCTCGACCTGTTCATATTGTTTGCTCAGCAGCCTGACCTGGGCCAGGTGCCAGGCTGCCCCTGGAGACAGGACGGGGGCCAATGCCTGTTGCCCCCTTCCCCTATGGCCTCTCACCTAGGCCTATTCGTCTGTCTGTCTCTCTCATGTCCTCCCTCACCACAGTACTTTAAGAAGCAGAAGCGGCTCATCCCCGAGAGGACGGTGTGGAAGTACTTCGTGCAGCTGTGCAGCGCTGTGGAGCACATGCACTCACGCCGTGTCATGCACCGAGGTACTTGCTGCCCCCTCCCCAGGGGGAGCCCAGGCATCCCCTGGGCCCCACGATGCAGCTTTTCCCTCGGCTCCTCAGGAAAAGCCCTTGCCCTGCCTGATGAAGACGGGCCAGTGTGTGTTCCCCACATGGGTAGATGTCGAGTGTCTTGCTGCCTTAAGCAGGATAAGAGAGTGGGCAGGTGTAAGGCCCCAGGCACAACTGTACACACATGCCTCATGCCCCTTGTTGGGGACCTCCCCATGGGGGAGGAGGCACCAAATGTCAGGTAGTCACGTAAATACCAGGGAACAGGGGCCCTGCTCGGCCCATCATCTCCAGTCCCTGACACCTAGCGCAGAGAGGGTGCAGCAGTGGGGGCTAAGGGGCTGGCCAGGGAGACAGCCAGGCATGACCAGTTACAGTAGTGCTGCCATCTCCAGCTGGGGAAGTCAGGAACTTTTAATATGGGCTTTGAAGTCTTAGTAGGAGTTGGCTGGACAAAGGAGGTGAGACACCTACAAAGGAGTATTTCCAAAAGCTGTCATCATCCCTGAGTGGTTAGAAAGGAGTCAGCTGTTCTGAGCACCTGCTGGGTGCTGCCAAGCACTGTGCTGGGTACTTGACACAGTTCATTTCACTGATTCCCTCGTTCAGTCATTCATCCCATCTATATTCATCAGTGTCTGCTGTGTGCAAGGCAGTGCCCTTACCATTCCCTGACTGAGTCCCCCATCCGTTCGTTACACAATTTTTTCTTGAGTGCCTACTATGTGGTAGGTACTATTCTAGGCACCAGGGATACAGCTGTAAAAAAGAAAACAACAGCACAAATATCCCCTCCCTCACAGATCTCCAGCAGCCCTGGGAAGTAGGTGAAGTTAGATCCATTTTACAGGTGTGGAAACTGAGGCCCAGAGAGGGAAGGTAAATTTCTCAAGGTCTCATGGCCAGTGTGGGACAGCCACGGCTGGGATCTTGCCCTGAGGGAGTGAGCCCAAGGGAAGGGCCCACCCTCTCTTGAAGGATCCTCCATCCCATGGTCTCCTTGGCTGCCGCTAGGCCTCCTCCTTCCTCCTGCCCCACCCCACCCTGACCTCCTTGTCACTACACCAACCCGTCCTCCTTCCCCGGCAGACATCAAGCCCGCCAATGTGTTCATCACGGCCACGGGTGTCGTGAAGCTTGGTGACCTTGGCCTGGGCCGCTTCTTCAGCTCTGAGACCACCGCGGCCCACTCCCTAGGTAAGCAGAGTCTGCCTGGACACCAACAGCGCCCTCCCCGCCACACCTGCGGTCCTGGGCTATGGTGTGAAGATTCAGACATTCTCCCGCTGTGCCCTTGTCTCTCCAGTCAGTGCAAGAAAATGCTGCTTTGGAAGATCAGATTTCCCTCATCTCTTTCACTCCCCAAACTCTCCCCAAGTACCTGCTCTGTGCCAAAAACAATGACCCAGAGGGAGTGAAATGAGGCCCAGTCGGGGGCTTGCCCTGGGCCCTCAAAGTCGCCTCACAGCCGGGAAAGAATGACTGGGCCCATGCCATGGAGTGGGGAGATGAGTCTGTTGTTTCACAAGGCAGTAATTCCATCTTTACTGCTGGGTAGTAGTCCACTGTATGGCTGTGCCACACTTTGTCCATTCTTCTTGGTGGCAGACATTTGGGGCACTCACCCAGGAGGAGGTGACATTGTAGCTGGGCCATGAAGCTGACCAGGAGCTGGCAGGGCAGGGAGTGGGGGGGAACAGAGTTCTAGAAAAGGGAACAGGGAATACCGAGGTGTCGAAGCTGAGTAAGTGGCCGGGTTTGGCGGGAGAGCAGGGTTCTCCGGAGGTTGCTGCAGATGTGGCAAGAGAGGCAGGTGGGGCCTCCAACACTGAGCTCGGTGGTCTGGACTCTCCCCTGGGGTAAGACAATGGTGGGCTTCAGAGTCCATTGCCAGGTCTGTAACTTATTGTGAAAGTTGGAATGATGGACGATGGGAATTTTTCAGTAGACTATAGGAACCAGCAAAGCCCCCAGTGGAACACAGATATAGGACCCCTTTTGTGTTACAAAGAGGCGTGTCAAAGTTTAACCACTGGGCCCGCGTGGGAATGCTTCCCAGCAGCCTATGGGGCGGGCAGTGTCAGCCTGTTTTCTTCAGAGCCAGTTCTTTGACGTGGTGTTTGCAGAGGAAAGCGCTCCCGTGGTCGCCTCCCCGGGTGCTGCCCCAGATCTGGGCAGATGCACCCCCGTGTGGACTGAAGAGAGCTGGGTCCTCCCCGTGCAGGCTGGCCGCTTCCCTTGGAAACCACTGCTCTCCGTTCATCTTGCTCCACTCCAGCGCTCAGCCAGGGTGTCTCCTGTCTTCCGACACCTGTGTGCCTGTCGCATGTTATGTGTGCCAACGGCATCTTCTGGTGATGTGGAGGGGCTTTCTGGAAGACACACTTTCCTGGTGGAATCTGTTACTGTTCATACAGGTCCCAATGGCTTAGAGACTCAGTGCAGAGCACACAATTAGGAGAAATACACCCCTCTAAGGATCAGGTGTGTGTGTGTGTGTGTGTGTGTGTGTGGTTTGTGGTGTGTGTGGTTGTTTCGAAACTCTCATCCTCGTCTGACCCTTGGAACACCAGGGCAGCTGCCTTGGACCCTGTCAGGAGGGTGCTTGTTACCTGGCTCCAGAGGGACCCCAGCCAGGCCACCTTAGGAGCTGGGCACATTGTGGCTTTCCCTTCAGCTCAAAAGGAAAGAATGTGCGAGGCCCTGCCATCGGTGAGCTTTATACCTCCTTCAGGCCTCACAATGGCTGTGAGGGGTCACAGGATCCTTGCTGTTTGCAAATGAAGAATCAGAAGTTCAGGAAGGTTGAGCTGTTTCTTCCTGAGGTCACATAGCGGCAGAGCCAGGCCTTGAATCCAGGCCTCTGATTCCAGAGCTGGTTCTTATTCCAGAAGATGAGGGTTGGGGGCCTTGGAAGATAATGCTGGGGTCTCCCTTTAGGTTCCCCGGCACCAACTCTTCCGTGGCTGGGAAGAGACCTCCCTCTGAGACATTTCTCTTGTTGAAATCAAAGTGTGTCTGTGGTTTGGGACTGTGTTTACCTCTCTGGTGTGTAAGAGCTTCGAAAAGGCCAAAAATTCAAGGGAAACTGTCAAAGAGGAGAGTAAAATCCGCTGCTCCTGTCCCCGTCAGTCAGGTTCCAACCCTTCTCTGTCCTGCTCCAGAAAAGACTGCCGCGCTCCGTCAGAGCCAGTTACGATCACATCATTAGCAACAGGCAAAAATACGGTCTCGTCGGACAGTGTGATTTTATCGACTTCGACTGGTGCACTTATTATATTAATGAGAAGGAGTTGGAACTTGAGGAAGGGCCGCCTGCAGAAGCTGGGCTCTTCCCGAGGCCTCTGAGCAGCTGCCCAGCCCTCGTGATGGGTGGAAGGAGCTCTCCGGGGACCTGCCCTCCCTCCAGGCCGTGCTGAGTGCCCAGCGTCCAGGAGACGCCTGCTGAGCTGAGAGCAGACCCTGCTGGCAAGCACGAGCTCACAGAACTGAGGGGGCCTGCCCCAGCACTAACCCAGGCTCCGCGATAGTGACAGTGCAGAACAAAGCTCAGGGCCTGAAGTCCCCAAGACACAAGGGGAAAGACCTTCTTTTCACAGCTAGGTTCTGGAAAATGGCTAAGTCTCGCACACACATTTAATCAGGCAAGAGATTGGACTAATTGCCTTGCATTGTGACTCAGGAAGGATGCAGGGGGCAGAGCACCTTCACACTTTGTGCTTGGGTATGAATTATGCATATGCCGTGTCTAATGTGCACCTACTATGTGGAGATGCTGTGGGGCCAGCCACGTTGCCCCGGCAACCACCTCTGCTCCTAAGGCTGCTGACCCAGGAGCCAGGCGTATGCAAATCCTGCCGCCTCCTGCCTCCCCCTCCACTGGCCCCCTCCCCACCTCTGTATTTGCTAACATGAGGCTGGCATGAAAGGGCATTAGTCAGTGCCACGGCCGGGCTGACAGGTGCGGTACCCAGCGGTGGCAGAGCGGCTGCCTCGGTGTCAGGAATAGGAGCCATAATTAGAGCGTGGAACAGAATGAGCGTCAGACGAATTACCAGGCAGCAGATCATATTTGTCAGGAAGGATTGCATACATAAAAATTAAGTGACAGTACACGCCGGCATAATGAAAGAAAAATGAAAGATTTGCCTATACACAGCTCACAAGCTACAAGCAAGTGTCTCGCTCCGAGCAACGGCAGCAGCTGCAAGACAAATTGTAGGGCTGGGAGAGCAGGCCCTGCTCACTCGGCGGCGGTGACAGGGTGACCGCGGGTGGGAGCAGGGCTGGGAAGGGACGCCTGCTCGCACCCAGGGCCCGTGCAGGGCCCCGTGCCACCTCCCGGGGCTGGAGTTGGGGGACAGGTCCGGTTGGGGCAACCTCCATCGGGTCCAAGTGGTCAGGCACTCTGGCTTTTCCTGGCCAGTCTGTGGGGCACAAATTCCATCTTTCTCCTTTCCCTGAGCTGACTGCCTGGCCCTGTGCTAGGTTCAGGGGACATGGGGGTTATGCAGCCATTCTACCTTCAAGGGATCCCCATACTGTGGGAAATGGGGAGACAAACACAATCAGACCCAGGTGGCAGGTAAGGGGACAGATAGAACTCTTTCCTGAGCGTCTCCTGTGTGCATTCACGATGCAAGGTTCAGTGGTTCTAAACCCTGAGGAGCCCAGGTCCACTTAGGGTCTAGGGCTGCTTCAGCCCCTCCCAGGGCTGTCAGTTGTCACTGTCACTGAAGTCAGTTGTCACTGAAGAGGTGAGTTAGCAGAGGATGAGGCTTAAAAAATGTTTGGAAAACGTGCTTTTTAAAAACATCATCACAGTAGGCTTATTATCTCCGTTTTACAGATAAGGAAACTGAGGCTCAGAGGTGATAACCCATGCCTGGGGTCACCCAGCAGAAGAGTACTGAAAATGGTACTGAAGCTGTAATCTCAGCCCAGCTTGGAGTGCTCTTTTCCCGTGCACCAGCCCGCAGTGAGGCAGGAAGTAGGCTTGGGTTGTGGGAGCCCAGAGAAGGAGCTGAGAGAGGGCTCCCCACAAGCTCTCTGAGTGGAAAGGACACCCAGGTCCAAGTTCCCGACCATACAAGGAAAGCCCATCCCTTTTCACAGCAGCAAGAGGTGACCTAGGACCAGGAGGGCTTGTCCTGGGCCCCACAGGGAGGGAGGATGGAGCCTTCTCTCGTGTTGTGTGCAAGCACTCCCACGAGCCCCTGGGCCAACAGGAGTCCAGTGTGGGCCACCCTGTGCTGTGACGTGTTTGTCCCCCACCCAACCTGCACAGGGGGATGGACCATCCTCATGCCCAGGAGCTTCTGGTGGTGGTGCTCGTTGGGTGGACACAAAGGACTGTGCAGATGCATCCCTAGGTCTCCATCCAGCCTCACCCACACCCCCTTCCAGCAGCACAGGGCACCTGGGAACAATCCCTGGGAACACTGTCCTTTAGCCGAGAACACGTGTGTCAGCAGATAGAGCTCAAGCCTGAGTTTTCAGGGAAGGCTCTGAGTGCTGACACCAGAAGGGGGAAAGGGAGGAATTCAAGGAGACAGCACGTAGGAATGGGCCCGGGCCTAGGATGCCAATTACAGTTGTTTCATTTGTTCATTCATTCATCGAGGCCCCACTCTGCTCACTGGGAAGGCTGACTTGGCCCCTGCCCTCACAGGACCCACAGTCTGGGAAGAAAATCCATTAGAGTTCTCACTGAGCCAAGCACTGCTCTAATAATCACTTCCCAAGTAATATCTCTCGGGTGAGCATTACCACTCCGTTCTGAAGGCGGACGCAGTGAAGTGAAGCCCCATTGCCACATGCCTGAGGCATCTACAGCCAGGGCTGTGTGGAGGCCAAAATCTATCTGAGATTCCCTGAACTGTTTTTGGATGAAACCCTTATAGCACGAAAACCCAAGATGCCATGTAGAATCACGGGTTTGCTCTATCTGATTTTCATATTGGTTCAAGATACTCAATATGAGAACTAGAAATGGGCAGGGATTTGTATGACATAAACAATCTGAAATTAAGTCAATGCTGATAAAAAAGAAAAGTACAATGTTTTTTCAACATCTCTGCTTCTCCTGTGGTCTTGGCCTAGCTCAGCATGGGCTCAGCTTGCTTGGTTCGAATCCATCTAGACGCCTGGCCATGTATTCTGAAAAGTCACAGCTATTGAAAATCCCATGGAGCCCAGTTCTAATCTGAAACACATAGGATCACCATGAGTCAGAATGGACTCCAAGGCAAAGGGTTTGGTTTTGGTGTAAGCCGAGCATGGTGGTGGTGTGTGTCTTGCTGCCAAGGATCCGATGTTGAGATTTAGGGGGGTGAGGTGTGGGGGGGGGGTCTCATGCCAGGCTGAGGATCTGACCTTTCTCCCTTAGGGATGGGAGAGGTCAGGCCTGGGGACAGGGGCGTCGCCTCTGCCTTGGGTGGAGGGTGGAGGATGGGTTGGAATGGGGACACAGTGAGGGGCTGGTCCAGGCAAGTGAGCTGGGGCCTGCTAGGGCAGTTGCTGGGATGGAGTGGAGGGGCGGAAGCTACAAGTTAGCGTCCTCAGGACGTGAAGCCTGATGGAATGTTGGGGAGAGGCTGGAAGTTTCATAGGACCGGATCACACTGTAGAGTTGAGGTGCCCCTAACCTCCAGAATCTGGTCTTCATCTGCCCCTTTGTTCTTCCCTTTCCCTCCCCTCCCCACCTTCAGCTCTTCCTTTCTCTCGCTCAGCTCACCCTTCCTTCTGGGGTCTGTGGACAGCGGGCCCTTCACAGAGCCCTTTCAACCCTAGATCCCTGTAAGGTCGATTTTATTATTCCCATTTTCCAGAGAGGAAAACCAAGGTTCAGAAAGGTGAAAGGAAGGACCCCAGGGAGTTCAACCCCTCCATTCTATTGATGGGGAAACTTAGGTCGAAAAAAGAATTTAAATTGTCAGCTAGTGAGTGATTGAATCAGGCTCGGACCCGGCTGGATCGATGCTCTTTTCACATCCGCTTGCCTGTGCCGTCAGAACTCTACACCGAAGCGCTTACGTCCCGGCCAAAGTCCCGCTCGGTGGATGGTATCTGCAACGAGACCAAATTTCTCCAGCCATTTCTGAAACCGCAGTTTGGAGAAGCGTTGCAGCTCACACATGCGCACCCACGTCAGCTTCTCCTTCCTGTGAAATCTTTGCCTTTTTCATATCTAATGAACATGTTTCAAGCACCGCGAGCAAAGTTTGTTTTGACAGGAGCGGCGCATCTCGGGGAAGCGGCCGCTTTAATCAGCCTCCCCTTTTGAGGTCCCGCGTCCTCCTCTGATATGTGCTGGGTTTGAAATCCTGGGAGTTGTAGGTGCAGACGCGGGGATGGTCAGGGCTGGTTAGGTGCCTCTTTCATTTGCAGAGCTCAATCCCCCACTGTGAGGAGAGGGAATGGGAGCCTTGTTGGAAGCCTCTGCGTCAGAGCGCCGCCGTGAGGCCGGGCGGGGAGACGCCGCTCCGGGCTGCGGCTTGGCCTTCCGGAAGTGCTCGCAGAGAGCGAGCCTGACCTCAGGGCCACGTCCGTGGAGGCACCTCGTCGTGCCACGTTCTCCCACTCTTCCCCAGTATCATGACTCCTTCGGGGCTTGGGGACACGTCCTCCAGTGCCCCTCTGCAAGCTCGGGATTTCTTTGAAGACTCGTTTTATCTTTAAAACTCATGCAAGTTGTGTGTTATGATCCCTAATATTTGAGTATTTGTTGTGGATATAAAAATCCGGTTTTAAGTGACTTACCCTCAGGAAAAGCTGGCATGACAGGAAGAGGCGCTGTAGTCTTGTAGGCCCTGACACACAGCTAGGGCCCTCCAGGTGAGGTAGAGTACCCTAGTTTGAGAGGCTCAGACCAAGGGGGAGAAGGCCCACTCCTGGGGCAGGGACACTGAGAACCCAGTACCCAGCATGGAAGGGCCAAGCCTCCCTCAGTCCCTCAGTTAAGGTTTCATAAATTCATTTATTCATTTGCTCCACAGATGTTTATTGAACATCCAAAAGAATGAGCAGGTAGGCAAGTGAGGCATTGCAGCAGCCCCACTCAAGCGGTAAAGTGCATCAGAGTCTCCCGGGAGCTTGTGGGGGATGCACTGTCCAAGCTCCACTCCTGGAGGTTCTGACCCCACAGAAATGGGGTTGGGTCAGGGGTCAAGATTTTTAACAGGCTCCTACAGGTGCTTCTGATGTGGTCACTATTCAGCCCAGCCTTTCTTTGATATACGGGGTTAGCAGGCACCTTGTGGATACTTCCTGGAACAAGCAACTTGCTACCTCCTGATGGGCCCACTCGGGCTTTTGGATGGGCCTGGCCAAGGCAGCCCCAGGCCAAAGCCCTGGCCACTCTGCGGGCCATCTCTCCCCACAAAGTCCCTGCTCTGGAGGCCCAGGCAGATGTAAAATGGGCAGAGGACGAGACTGAGGAAGGGAGAAGTGTCGGGCCAGGCCCCATACTCCCAGCCGGGAATGGGCATGGCCAGGGGTTTTGGTGCAGCCAGACAACAGGCATGCTGCACCTCACTGAGGACAGGGCCTCAACCTCTATCTCTCCCCGCCATCTCTGTGGGTATCGCATCAGCTCCTCATCGTCTTTCAATGTGGGAGAAGATTTTTGCCTCGCAGGCATGTCTGTGGTACCCAGGGTGCTAGAATCCACTTACAGTTTGTCCCAAGATTCCTGCTGTGAACTGTTTGGATTTCCTCCTGTGGTTTGGATATGACAAGTCATCCATTTCACACTTGGTCATTCATTTTACTTTTGTTCCCTCATGAACAAAATATATAAGTGGTTACTACTTGGAGTAAAAATTTCCTTTCCTAGTAGAATCCCACACATGTTCATAAATTGACTAACAGCTCTTCCTGCTGAATTTCTGTTAGCAGTGGGCAGAAATACTGATGCCAGCTGTCTGATCCCCAGACTGGTCCTTAGGTCTGACTAGGTCCTGGGAATCTACTTTTTGTAAAGTTCCCCAGGTGATTCTAATGCTCTACCAGCGGGGGAGCCTCCAATCTGGCCCACTCCCCCTCCTTTGATAGAGAGGGGACCGTCTTAGGGGGGAGACAGGGATGCCCAGGTTCCCAGCGAGACTAAGGCTAGGTCTCTCCCCCGCCCCCATGTGTTGCCTCTTCCCCTCACCCATGTGTCCTGCTCCTGCATGGAGCATAAACACCACCCCCTTGCTGTGTTTCAGTTGGGACACCGTACTACATGTCACCGGAGAGGATCCACGAAAACGGCTACAACTTCAAGTCCGACATCTGGTCTCTGGGCTGTTTGCTGTATGAGGTGAGTCTCTGGCCCAGAGCTTAGTGGCATTTGGTAGGACACACACAGTGGGCACCTCAGGGTAGGACACAAGGGTGAGTCACATCTGCCTGCATCATTGGTACCATCAGGGACCTCTCCTTCATTCTCAGCCCAGCATCTGCCTTTAGCAATGTCAGGCTGGAGGTGGTTGTCAGAGGCATGGACGGTGGCAGGCAGGGTGCTGGCTCACCCTTGGCCTGCTCTGAGTCTGGGATGGGAGACAGACTAGAAGCAGCTCAGACTAGAAGCAGACAGAGGGAGTCCAGTGTCCACTTGTGCAGTGGAGGGAGCACAGGCAGGAACACAGATGGAGAATCTGGTTGCTTGGATGACCTATGCTTGCCGATCCCCAGCGGCCCCAGTTTCCCTGGTAACCACATTAACACACTGGCCCTGGGGACCGGAGAGGAATCAGACCTGGCTCATGCCCCCGAAATGCTTCCTGCTGAATAATGTCCACATTTTTCCTGGCCCAGGACCATGGGTCTCACTAAAGACCATGGCCCCCTGCTCGAGCCATGAAATGGAGCCACCAGGTGGCCATTTCCAGATTTGGCGGCCAGCCTGGACTGAGGGACAGGAACATTTCTGAGTCTTGGTGGGCTCAGGCAGAAGACAGCCTAAATAAGTGGAAGCCCCAACCCATTTAGGCCAGCCATCTCAGGGCCCCTGGGGAAGTGGGGTGCACAAGCCACTCACGGCCGTGAAGCTGTTAGAGCCAAGGGAGGGGGGCCTGCACCCGCTGGCGTTTCCAAGCCTGGTGGTCACACCTTCCCACCATCCACCTTGGACCACCTTGTGCTGGTGCCTCTGGGATTCCATCTACTTGCTGAGCCCGTTTGCCTGTCTGTAAAATGGGAAGATTAGTCCCTGTTCTGTCTTGTCATAGTCCAGATAAGTGAAATAACAGACACAGAAGGGCTTTGAAAACCCCCAAGAGCTATGCAGCCACCAAGCACGTCCACCCAAGTGTCGAGTCCTGAGGGGTAGGAACTGCTGCTCTAGGTCTTTCAAGGCCCAAGCAAATGCCCTCAAGTGTAGTAGGCAGCCAGCAAGTACAGTTTTAAGTTAGATTTTTTTGTGTGTACGTGTGTGCATGTGTGGGTGTGGTGTGTGTGGTGTGTGTGTGTGCATGTGCGAGAATGCAGCTCGTGTAGCTGTGGGAATTAGGGTGAGAGAGATGTAGTGTGTTTGGGTGAGCCCAGGCACTCACCCACTGAAGGATCCAGGGCAAGTCATGCCCCTCACCCCCAGCTTCAGTTATGCCACGCATAAAATGGGGTCACACTCTACTTTGTAAGGAGTAAACAAGACCCTGCAGGTGAGGCCGCTGGCACAGAAAGGCCCTCGGGGAATGGAGCGTTTGCTCCCAGACCCCAGCAGTGAGGCTTTTCAGCTCGGCTTGCCCTGTTTCCCTTGTTGCTGTGGCCAGCGGGAAGCCAAAGTGCAGCTCATATTCAATCCCTGTGGAGAATTCGGTTTTGTCCTTCTACCCTCATTTATATCATTCCTGGTCCAGATGGTTTTTCTTTTTATTAGTCCATTTTGTGTTTTGTATTTTTGTAAGCCACTTCCTGCCCTCTATGAAGCTGAGGGTCTCCAAACGTAAACAAACAGACACAGGCAGACTAGGGTGTGACAGAGCCATGTTCATCTCCCCAGAGCCTGGTTGGGGGAGCATGGCAGCTGGTTCCTGCTGGTTGTCCCAGGTGTCCCGCCAGAGAGCCAGCCCTGCAGCCGCCAGCCGTGCTACCGCCCGAGCCTTTGTGTTGGCCCCTCCAAGGCCAAGCAGCCCCAGCCTGGGACCCCACAGTGCCAGTCCCATGGGGTTCCCAGTCAGGCGTCCTCCCCCAGAACTCGTCCTGAGGCCTAACTGCACGTATAGGGAGGCAGCGTCCGTATTCATGGATCCGCAGCATCAAGGCTGTGGTTCAACCAAGTTGATTTATTTGTCGGCAGTGTGTGGGACCGTGCTGCTTGCAACCAGGGAAGGAGGTATCGGCAGTGGGAAGTCAATGAAATAAATCAGTGAAGTCCTGCAGAGAGATCTAGAGTCCTTGGGGACAGTGGGCGCTGATCTAAACCTAATGGCCCTGGGCCTCCCACAGACGAGAACCAGTGTGGCTGTTGTGGCAGCACATCAGCCCCTCCGAGGGTGACGGACGGGGCTCTGCCTCAACCCAGTCCGAGTGGCCAAACCCCAGGATGGGGGGGTTCACCCCACTCCCTAGCCCTGTAGGGAAGGGGAAGAGGATGTTTTCCCAGCAGAGAGTGAGGGGAGCCGCATCTGAGCCCAGGGCCGTGGTAATTGGAAGGATGCATCCTGAAGACACGACTGGAGCCTCCCTCTAGGCAGCCTGCAGTGTCTCCCGAGGGCGCCAGCCTGAAGAGTTGTGACAAAGCCCCCACCCACCCACTCCAGACCATGGCGGAAGATTCAGCTCCACCCTGAAGTACCAGCATGGGTTTGGAAGTCTCAGAAGCCCCACTGTATTAGTTCCTATGGCTACTGTAGCAAATTACCACTAACTTGGTGGTTTAAACCAACACAGATTTATTCTCTTAGAATTCTGGAGGCCAAAGTCTGAAATCAGTTTCACTGGGCTAAAGTCAAGGTGTCGGCAAGGCTGGTTCCTTCTGAAGGCGCCAGGGGAGAACCCATCTCCTTGCCTTTTCTAGCTTCTGGGGGCCGCCTGCGTTCCTTGGCTCATGACCCCTTCTTCGCATCACTCAAACCTCTTGCTTCCCTCATCACAAATCTCTTCTGTAGTCAGATCTCCCTCTGCCTCCCTTTTATAAGGACACTTGTGGCTGCATTTAGGTCCACCTGGATAATCCAGGATAATCTTCACATCTCAAGATCTTTAACTTCACTTAATCACATCTGCAAAGTCCCTTTTGCCACATGAGGTAACATTCATAGGTTCCAAGGTTTAGGACGTGGACATCTTTGGGAGCCATTATTCAGCTACCACACTCCTTTCACCTAGGCATCCAGATCTCCACTGAGGGCCTCCTGAGGTCACCCCAAGATGCCGATGTTGACCCATAGCTAGTGAGGAACCGCAGGGGTGGGTGCCAAGTGGAGTCTGTCTTGAAGAGGTCAGCATCAGGAAAAATGTGCCAAAGGCTCAGCAGCTGGGAGCAACACTGCCCTGGACATTGGAGCAAATCATAAGAATTGCACCAGGCAGGTCCCAGCATCACTATAAAGGGGGAAACAGGCTCAGAGAGGTGAAGAGACTTCCCCAGGGTCACACAGCAAAGCAGCAGCCAAACGGACATTGATTCCCAGGCTGTCAAATTCTGCCCTGCTGCAGACAGCAGCCAGGCCCTGGCCCCAAAGCAGGAATGGATGTGTGGGGCCTTCTCCCAGCCACCGGGTGGCCATGGTGGAAAAAGGCATGGGTCCAAAAGGGGAAAACCCAGTGGTAAGGAGCCTGAGCGACCCCAGGTGCCTTGGCTTCATCCCACGGCCACAGCAGCTGCTCCTCTGTCCCCGGAGCTCCCGGTAGAGATGCCTGAGCGTGGCCATGCGGAAAGGCCGGTGCTTTATTTTCATTACCCAGTGTGCCCTGTGGAGACGCCCAGCAGGCCGCCTGGGCTCTGCAGAAATTATTTATTTACATGGAAGCTCAGCTCTGGGAACAGCACTGAAGGAATTGGCTCTCTCCGTGCTAGCCTCAGGATCTTCGGTGGGGGGCTGTCTCATGCAGCCCCGAAGGGGCCGCCTAGGATTGAGATCTAGCAAGAAAGTAGGCTGGGGGGAAAAGAGCAAGGATCAGCTGTGCTTGTACGGAATCCTGTTTTGGAATACTGGTCAGAGCCAGCAGGACGTTCTGGATGCCCCCTACCTTGTCGGGGAGTAAGGCTACAGACTGCTTGGTTATTCGCCTCTGGGCTCACGCTTCACTCCAGGAATGCCTGGGAAATACTGGGCAGCGAGATGGGTGTCTGAGGCCCTGGCGGGGCTGGAGTCAGACGTAACCACTGTTCTTTCTGAAGTCAAATTCCCCCTTCTCCCTCTGACATCTCAGATCACATACTAGCTTCTCTGAGTCCTCCCAGCAGGCACAAGTGCCCACACACTCCCTCTTCCTTGGGTACGTATCATCCCAATAACACTAGAGAGAAAAAAGTTCTGCATTTGAGTAGCAACACTGAGAGCTGTGGCTTTGGCAGTTCTAACAAAGCACCAGCATCAGCCCAAATGGCAGTGCCTATTCTGCTCTGACCGTCAGAGGCTGGGTGGACACCTGTACGAGGCGATCTCGCCATCCAGGGTAATTGTTCTAATCCCAGCGTCTCGAACAGCCCCAGAGGTCCTGTCACAGCCTGCCGCCCTGATCTGGGTGGAAGGCTGCAGCTGGCAGCTGGAGAGGGGACAGGCTTCTGCCAGAATCTGCATTTGAGGATGGAGGAGCTGCCATTAGCAGGGAGGACTGCAAGGGAGTGCTGGTATGGCCCACTGCTGACTCTCCCCATAAAGAAGCTTTTCTGAAATGATGTAGGGAGAGTGCCGAAAAGGACGGAGAAATGATCTGAGGGTGACAGATAAGAGGGCTCATTGTCACCCCCCATTTCCGGGGTCCTTTTGGAGTCCAAAGCTGTGAGGCTTGTGAAGGCCAGATCAGATGGGTTCGTTTCAAGGACCACCCTGTCCCTCTCATAGATCAAGTGCAGGAAAAACCAGGGCCTGTGTGAGCAGGGCCAACATTTAGACTGTACCACCTTTGAACTCTGAACAGTAAGTTTCCAGGAGAATCCATCTTAATCCTCCAGCCATGACTCAGAGGACACTGGATCACAATGGGTGGCCACCCTGGAGTCTCAGCTGCTCTCTGCTGTGGCAACAGATGTCCTTTTGAAACTGCCGAATTAACCCTTTGCACCGGAGGTGCTTATTTTAATTATCGGAAATGCATCACCCAAGTGATGCCATTTTGCAAACTTGCAAACTTGCTGGTGAAGCCAGCTGCTGGCCAGCTTGGGCGCACACATCATCCTTCACGAGCAAAATGCCAGAGCCACTCTCTGTGCCTTCTTCTAGGGCAGTGTTTCATGGTCCAGACAGGTCCCATCCCTCCTCAGAGGGGACCGAGCCCCTGGTCAGCCAGTAGGAGGAGGAAGTGATACTGCCCCTAAACGCCCACCTGAAGACAACCTTGGCATGACCCAGGCACCTGGGCCCAAGGGTGCTGCCCAGAGGCAGACTCCAGGGCCTGGTTCTGAAGGAACCCCAAAATCTCCCCAAAGGCCGTTTTCAAACTCAGGGATGTTGCCTGGGTCTCCGAAGCCTTCCTTGGTACTTTGGCAGGTGACAGGCCCTGCTCTGGGGTCACCAAACCTGTCCAGAGGGGTGAGCAGAGGACGGCGACAGACTGAGAAACAGAGGGTGATGCGCATCCCCAGACCCAGCTGCCACGGGCCCTTCCCGCCCCGACAGAGGGATCTTCACCCCATACCTTGGGCATGAGGGTGAGGGGATCCCTTGAGTCTGCAGTGCCCCACCACAGTCACTGCCAGGACCTGTGGTCAGGAAGCTTGTGCAGGTGGCCCTGGCAGCCTGACTCCTCAGAAGGGAACCAGGGCCAAACGGACAGGCGGGCACAATTACCTGATGGCACTTCATTAGCAGGAGGCGTTTGGCTGTTGTTCGGCGGCAGGCGACAGTGAGCGGGAGTGACAAGAAACACTTGAATCCCATTATGGATTAATCAGCAGATGGGGCTGGCGGATGCCGTGCTGGGCTGCCACGCCGCTGCCTCATGAAGCGCCTCCACGGCTCCTGCCGCACCCTCTTTGAAGACGTCCCCCCATTAGTGCTCTGAATGGTGGGGTGGGGGAGTCTGGCACCCTCCAGAAGGGGGAGGCCTGCTAGTTCCCTGACTGGGTGAGAACCAGTTCTTTCCCTCCCCAGCATCCTGAGCAAGCGCCCAGGAGTGGGCCTGCTCTCAGGGTGGAGCCGGGTGCTGTGGGCTCACTGAGGATGATGACAGCTTTGCTTGTGGGGCCCCCTCCCCATGCCAGTCTAAGTTCACCACAGCCCTGCAAGGTGGGGCTCCTTCCTATTGTATACATGAGGAAACCAAAGAGATTTGTCCAAGGCCTGTCACCTAGCAAGCGAGTGGCAGAGCTGGGATTCAGGCAGAGATGTGGCCAGCTGCAGAGCCAGGTGTTTCCTTTCTACTCTGGAGGGCCTCAGGCCCCCTGCACCCAGGGGCAGCCAACTGGCCTTCCTCCCTCCCGCCTTCCCTCCCTGATGTCTAGGCATCCGGCTTTCGCAGACGGCAGCAGTCGCCACCCTGAAATCCCGTCCTTCAGACAACAGTTCTGTAATGAGCTGGCAAGAACAACCTAGGGTTTAAAAAGTCAAAAATGAAATGTCTCACTTCCCTCTACCCCTCCCCTTGCCAAAAGTTAGTCCTTTGTATTAAATAGACATCCTCCCTTGAGTGTCTTTGGAATTTCTTATTAGATAAATAAAACAGTGTGCTAGAGAGAAGCTGCCGGGCCCAGGCACAGATCTTCCAGGGAGTGGTGCCTCTGTTTCCCCATCTGCTACATGCACACGACCAAAATCATCCCTTGAGTGCTGAGGCGTGAGGCAGGGGCCATCTTACACACGGCTGGCCCTCAGTATTCAGCTGCCCCTTCCTCACTGCCTTTAAAGTTTTGTCACTGAAACACCTGTCCTCAGTTAATTCCTTTATGTAAGAGGGCAGAAAAAAAAACCAAAACCAAACCCAATGCCATCAAGTCAGTTCCGACTCACAGTGACTCTATAGGACACAGTAGAACTCCCCCATAGGGTTTCCTAGGCTGTAAATTTTTACGGAAGCAGACTGCCACATCTTCCCTGCAGAGCAGCTGGTGGGTTCAAACCAACCTTTCAGTTAGCAGCCGCGTGCTGTAAACATTGCACCACCAGGGCACCAGGGTTGGGGAGGGGGGAAAGGAGGTCTCAAAGATCATGTTAAAATTGCTCCTTTCTGTTGAATCCCCACTTCCTCGGGGTTTGGGGTAAGAAGCCCTTCTGGACAGTCGCTGCAGTGAGGACCAGACCACACCCTATTCTGGAGTGGCCCCTCTTGCCCCTCGAGTCCCCCTCGTCTCACAGCTGAAAACTCATCTCTGTCGTCCTCCTCCCCTTGCAGATGGCAGCTCTCCAGAGCCCTTTCTATGGAGATAAAATGAACCTTTTCTCCCTCTGCCAGAAGATCGAACAATGTGACTACCCGCCTCTCCCTGGAGAACATTACTCTGAGAAGGTGAGTTTGCTGTCTGGGAGTGACTGAAGCTCACAGGGGCCATGCCCAGTAAGCCCCACATGGCCAGCAGTGGCTCAAGAGGGGCAGTTCTGAAATGCCACAGCTGTGGCATTGAGCTTGGGTTCACTTAATAGGATGGAGAAGAGAAGATTTCTGGCAAAGTGACCCAGAGGAGTAATAAGTAGATTAATTTTCCCAAAGAAGGGGCTTCACGGACAGCCGTGCGGACCCTCGACAGCAGCGGGAACAGCGGGAGCTGGCAGATACGGCTCATCAGCACATTTCTGCCAGCGTGTTTGGCTTCTCACACAGTGCTTGAGTGTGAGGCTCGCTGCTGTAGGTCCCAGATACTCACAGAGGCAGGAGGCAGGCAGGGCCCATCTCACCCGATACCACTGTTGGCTGCCACTCCCACTCCTGCGACGCGAAACCAGGGCAAGCGGACTGGTCTCCTTCCTATTGTAACAGACGTAAGTCATACCTTGGGCTTTTATTTTCAACATTTGGTGCAGTGGCTCTGGAGACAAAATCTGACAGGTCTGGCATTGGGTTGTGCTGGTTTCTAGCCGTGTGAGAGCATCATCCTCCTCAGTTCTATCATCTGGAAAATAGACCTCATATTTCTCGTTTGTGGATGAGTTATGAGGATGAAATGATAGGTTTTACAGCACAGCAGTGGTTAAGAATGTAGACAGACAGGTTCATAGACTCCCTCCACTGTTCTAGAGTGAATCACTTAACCTCTCTGAGCCTGTTTACTCATTTGTAAAATGGGGATAATGCTAGAATCTACCTCACAGGATCGGTGTAAGGATTAATTAAGGTTATGCATTTGACGTGCTCAGCCTAGCACCAGGCTAGCATGTATCGAGCACTTCCCACCATTGTCAAAAATAGCCACGGAAGGTAGCATACGACCTGGCTCAGAGTGAATAATTTCTGCTTAAAGGTGATGCTAGTGGGTGTAAAGAGGAATCTGAGACCTTCCGAAGCCCACCCTGCACGACCACAGGCCACTGTCTCACAATAACAACAGCTCACATTTGTTAGACTTACTGTGTTGCGTCCTTCCATCACCTCATTTTACTGATGAGGAAACTGAGACACACATGAGCTAAGTAACTTTCCCAAGGTCACATAACTTGTAAGTGGTGTCGGCAGGATTCAAACCCAAATGACCCATCTGAGCCTGCACACTGCACCTGGCCACTGTGCCATCCTGTTTCTCATGGCACATCTCTTCGGTAGCCGATAACCCAGCAGGTTAAGAGTAAGGCGACCTCCCTGCAGCTCGCTGGAATCACCATCCTGAGGGATCCAAAGGCTTTGGAAGGAGCAGCCCTTGCCCACCGAGGGGCTGGGCCTTTGCAGGCCAGCTGCAGAGACCAGGTCCCCCTCCGATGTGCTCTGACCCTGTGGTTAGGTAGGCCTAGCCAACCAGAGGCCCCCGTGGTCACTGGCGACCCTTCTCCCAGCCATCTTTGTACTTAATGCAGTGCTTGCTGGCTTTGCAGACTCCCAGAGGACAAAGTTAGGGTCAGGAACACGTTTCCCCATAAAATTGTATGGTGTACCTCCTCTCAGCCACAGCTTCTGTTTCAATAGCTTGCAAAATTCTTACATTTACCTTTGGAGGAAGTACTTATGCTCTAAAGTGGAAGTTGGCAGGAAAGGAAAAACTAGTTAATTTCTTCACCGAAAAGTTAAGAGTTGCATTTGGGTTTTGTTTTGTCATCTTTTGTTTAAATTTGGAATTCTGTACTACTCAGAGGCAAGAAGCCATGCAACTTGGAGCAAATCACTTCTGTGGCTCAGTTTCCCATCTGTAAATGGGAACTAGAATCTCTAAGGCTAAAATAGATGAATCTACATAAAGCCCTCAGCCCCCTTCTTTCCCAAGTCATTCTGTGTTCATGAGCTGCTACTCCCTAAAAGTGCACCGTTTTCACCAGTTATGTGCAAATGTGAGAGGTGCTTCTTGGCACTGAAGCCCCTCAGCCTATCCCATTTCAAGTTTTACCATCTATTAGAAATGGAAATGAGATGCTTTATTTTTATTTTGTTCTTTTGTTTCCCTGGATTTCTGAAAATTTCAAGTACGTACTCATTGTACTGTGTGGGATACTCACAAGTGAGCATTTCGGATCACATAGACTTTGCCTTAAACTGGGTTTCTTGGGTATTTTAACCTGTCAGAGGCCAGCCACAGCTACCTTACCTTGAATATTGTATAAGACCTGACTCCAGGAGTGTCCGAGCAGGCTGTAGGCTCAGCTGTCATCTGTTCAGGGTTTTTACAAGCACTGGGATCCAAAAAACGGAGCATGTGCAGGTTGACGGGGATGCCTTAAGGCTCCGCAGACCAGTTAGAAAATTCCCCATTCAGATGAACCAAAACCACATTTGCCGGAGGCTCAGGCCCACTTGGCCTGAAACACCTCATCCGGCAGTCTGTACAGTCGCCCAAGGGCCTCTGGAATGACCCTTCAGCCCTCCCCAGTATCCCTGAGCGTGGCAACTGGAGGCCACTTGAGACCCCTCTTATTCAGGACCTCCCCTCTCCCTGCTGCTGCCTGTGACCGCGCAGGGTGAGCCAGCCCCTCCAGCAGCAGGTATTTAAATGAAAAACACTGTGGTGAGCCCAGTGATGCAAGTTAAGATGCAGGCTTTTTAAGGTCATTATTTTAATTACCATTAAAATAATTGGCACTCTGGCTATCAGAACGTGAGGCGATCAGAGGCTCAAGGCACCCCCTCCCCCACCTCGAGGCGGGAGCAGCCTTCAGTGTCTGTATAATTAAAAGCTCCGTCTTTCATGAGCACAATGAAGAGGCCAGGGGGTGGGCAGACTGCAGCCCTGCTGCATGTTAATGCATTTATTATGATCAATAAGCCCTTCCTTGAGTTCTGTCTTCTGGTTTGGGCATCTGCATGACTGAAAGCAGAGGCACACGCACAGCAACAGCTTTGCCCAGTGGTGTGGAGGACAGTTCAGAGTTCAAAGTTATTGAGAGGTAACCACACTCAGGGTGTCAAAGCGTGGCCTCCGGGGCCAGACAGGCTAGGATTGGTCTTGGCTATCCCTCGGTAGCTGTGCGACTGTGCGTCTTCTCGTTGCTACAAGGATTAAGTGGGTTAATGCGGATAAAGTGCCAAATGCAGTGCCTCAGTAAGGCTGCTTTCTTAAGAATAACACAAATCATTCTCTCCCTTGCAGTTACGAGAACTGGTCAGCATGTGCATCTACCCTGACCCCAACCAAAGACCCGACATCGGATATGTGCACCAGGTTGCCAAACAGATGCATGTCTGGACTTCAAGCACCTGAACTTGGATGCACCATGCCTTATGAAAAGCCAGCACCACTTTGCCTTACTTGAGTCTTCCTCTCTCAGAAGTGGCCACCTGGTAGCCTAGAACAACTAAGACAAGAGGGTTCAGCAGGTTCCCCAAAGGGGGCCAGGCTTTACAGCAGAGATACTGAAGACAGCATCTGGGGAGGGGGCTGGTCACGTTACTGATCTTCAAATTCAAAAGTTCTGTAACTGTTGTGGACAATCCAGGCTGGGTTGTTAAAAAGGAGGGGTTGGTTCAGCAAGCCCCTGAAGTGCCCCTTGTATCTGGGTTGTAATGTGAATCCTTTGGAGAACTCCTTCAGTGACTCGTCAACGTTTATACTAACAGAATTGCAGGAGACTGTGATTTGTATAGTGAGCCTTGGAAAATGGTTAATAGCAAGTTCAGTTTAGTTCTTAGTATCTTTTCCAACAATCAGTCTGTGAGCTTAATTTAGTCTGTTGTAAAGGGATGAAGTGGAAATCATTTTTTTCACATACAGTGGAGATTTTGCCAATATTTTTATCTACATTATAACTTGATGAATGACAGTGAGGAGAACCCAGCATCTGGCATAAAGCTTCAGAAGGCAAATGATATTTGAAAGCCATGAGTGTTTTCCTTGCAGTCTGGTTCAGCCGTCTTCTACTGAGCACCTGCTGTGTACCAGGCACTTCATCATCTGCTTGAATGCTGAGACTTCATTTCACTATCAGTGTTAAGCCGTGGAAGCACGGGATACAAAAAAGACAAGGCCTTTGCACTCAGGCTGTCCTCTCTACAAATTCTGATTCTGCAACTTCCTAGTGTGATCTTGGACAAATTTCTTAACCTTTCTGAGCCTTAGTGTCCTCACCTGTAAAATGCGACTAACACCTACCTTTAGGGTTGTGACAGAATTTGAAATAAAACATGCAAGTTATCCAACACATAGTAGATGCTCCAAAAATGGTAGCCACTCACCCCCTCAAAAAACTGAAGTCCCCAATCATGTTAAGTCAAGAATTCATGTACAGCTGTACTATGTGTAGGAAACCAGACATGTATTCATTTATTTCTTGTTCCCAAATAGGATTAACTGTGAAGATTAATTTATAAATGTGAATTCAAGCTCTGAAGGAAATAGTTTGAATTTTGTTTTTTATACTCAAATTAATCCTCAAATGGTCTAAGTTGACGTCCACTGACTTGGTGACAGTTCAGCCCTCCCGACCAGAGCACACACGCCCACTTGCTCCGTTGGTGTCAGGCGTTTCCTGACTCACCTGGCCTCCATGGGAATAAAGGACTTACGACGGGGGCACTGCTCTGTTTCCATGTGAACTCTGTTCTACTGTAACACTGTAGGTTTTGAGATTTTCTTCAGATGCAACCTTTGCTTTGTACTTGTTCTCCATGTTTGAAATAAAATGGGGTAAGAGGGGTTACTTCTGTGAATGAGTCTGATTCATGGATAATCGGAGAACAGTTTCATACTTTTTCCTTCCAAACCAGTGAAGCCTAAACTTAAAACCATGTCAGCAGCACAATTTCTTGAAGAGCTTTTAAAAACACAATTTCCCAGGCCCCAGACATTCTGAGTAATCCTGGAATTTTTTTAAGCTCCCCAGATAATAATCAGCAGCCAAGTTGCTGCCCTAAATAATTCCATTGTTCTCTCCACCCGACTCCCAGCAGTTGTAACAAGGGACGCTGGCTACCAATGGGTCCACCCTGGAAGACCACGGTGCCAGGCCTCTTTCTTGTGTCTCTCCAGCAATGCTCTTCCCAGGGGAAAGTCCCTGTCTCCTGCCTAGCACTCACCACTGAAAGCTGTTCCAGGTCTAGACAAATGTTTACTCAATATTCCTCCTATGGCTCTCAGAGCCCCTATTGTGTCTCCCTTGGCAGAACCAGCCTCACCAGCCTCAGAACACAGATGAACTTGCTTTCTCTACTTCATCTACTTCCAACACCATGAGAACAATGCTGCCTGACTAATAGGACCCTCTGGAGACATACAATTTCACCCATTCACCAGCCCTTGTATTTGTGAAATGATCATGTCTTAATTATTACAAAACAGTAAACCCAAAACCATTCCTTTTGATTTCTGTGGCACTAGACAAAGTGGAGTTCACTCAAGTTCATGCAGCTATGGGCAAAGCAAGTGGTCCACCGTTCCTCCCTTTCCTTGGGCTTTAGAAAAGAAACTGGGAGATTCATCTCTGTTTCTTTCTTTCTTGACTGCTGGGATAGAAGGCTGTGCTGTACTCAACCTAAAATTAAAAAACGGGCTACTTGAACAAAAACAAATTAGCACAACGGGTGGGTGTAAATTTTCACCTGAAGAGTCCCAAGTAGCCCAATCTGACTTCCTGCCACAGATGAGGCATCACACTGCTGGGTTTAGGAGGGTTACATCACTCTTACACTCACCACAATCTAGCCTGGTACTCAGGGAGGAATTCACATCCTTAAAGAGGCCAGGTTGATAGGCTGTAGCAGCCCCAAAAAAAACACACAGCCCCCAGGCCTTAACCACCCAATTTGGTTTTCTTTTTTTATTGAGTTTCATTCAGCAAACACTAGCCAAATGAATGTCTTATGGGGAGTGGGCCCTCCGACCTCCCCAGTCTTCTAGAGCAATAACCAGCCAGCCATCCACCGACACCATTCAGGAAGTGTCCATTGTTTGGACTGTTTCTTCCAGGACCTCAATTTCCAGGGTAGTGACTTTCTCAGTGAGGATGGCAGTGGTCCCTTTCTCACACCTATACCGGCCAAACCTAGTGAGAAAAAAACAAAAGCACATTAGGATTCCCCTAGGGGGCCCTGCAGAGGGCAGGAGAGAGTGAAAAATATTCAGAAAAGGCAGCAAGCAGGTCTGGTCTGGAATACGGGCTCCTCTAGTTCCCAGCTTTGTGGACTATGGAAGGAACTCAACTTCCCCGAGGTTCACTTTCCTCATCTCTGAAGTGCCGCAAAAAAGGAGACCCCGGCAGATATAGTGCACGTTAAAAGAGAGAACGTAGAGAAAGCACCTGGCACTCAATTTTCCTTCCCAGCCTCATATCCCCACTAGATGCTGGAAAGTATCTGGTCATTTGATTTAAGCTTCAATCTTGCTAAAGCATCCTTCAGTAACCAGCAGGAAGTAAATCCTTTAAGTTTCTTGTGAAACAACAAGAATGACAAAACTATTACCTTAAACGTTTTTAAAATACCCGGAAGCATAAACAACATAAAATGATCCACAGCCAAACTGTGAGCTTTTCACTTAAGACCACACCCTTGAGACTCGAGAGAGTTGTCACCGCAGGGACAAGGTGGATCACCAGAAGGACACACCCAACACCTTTTCTTGGCAGGAATCTGAGCACAAGGCAGTCTGTAAGATACATACTTGAACAGTTAATTCTCACAGCGGGGCCAGAGATAACAATCCTGTCAAACAGCAGCATAAGCCCTACTGTTCCTCTGGTCTGTCCCTAGCTGGGGCATTATTTGTCAACCTGGCATATCGCGCATGGACTAACAGAAGGCTGCTGGCTGTGCCATGGCCACGTGTTCCTCGAAAACCTACCCTCTCAAATGGGCACTTGGGCTCAAAGAGGGAGAAAGATGCAGAAAAAAGGGAGGGAGATTTGCAGAGCTCTGTATCCAATTCAGGAGCTTGGGCAGCAAAGAACAGCTTACCTTCATTTCTGCAAAATTTTCCCATACCCACCACACTCTATTCTTTATATATATATATATATATATATATAAAATTTATGTATATATATAATTTTATTTTGTTGTTGAGAATATAAACAGCAAAACATAAAACATACACCAATTCAACAGTTTCTACATGTACCATTTAGTGACATTGATTACACTGAGTTGTGTAACCATTCTCACTTTCCTTTGCTCAGTTGTTCCTCCCCCATTAACCTAAATTCACTGTCCCCTAAGGTTCCTATCTAATCTTTTGAGCTGCTGTTGTCAATTTGATCCCACATAGTTAGTTCTTAAAAGAGCATAATGCTCAAAGCAGATATTACGCTAAACTACTGTTTGGTTTAAAGAAGACTTCAGGGGATATTTTTAGTTTATGGTTTAAAGATTATCTCAGGGCAACAGTTTCAGGGGTTCATCCAACCTTCATGGCTCCAGGAAGTCTGGAGTCCATGACAATCTGAAATTCTGTTCTACACTTTCCCCCTTTTGATCATAATTCTTCCATGGAATCTTTAATCAAAATGTTCAGTAATGGTAGCTGGGCACCATCCAGTTGTTCTGGTCTCATGGCAAAGGAAGCAGTTGTTCATAGAGGCAATTAGCCACACATTCCATTTCCTCCTCCTATTCCTGACTCTCCTTCTTCCTGTGTTGCTCCAGGCAAATAGAGACCAGCTGTTGCAGCTTGAAGGCCACTTACAACCTTTTAAGACCCCAGGCACTACACATCAAACCAGGAGGTAGAACAGAGGCACTGAACATGTTATTAGGCCAATTAACTGGGATGTCCCATGAAATCATGGCCCTACACCTCAAAACCAAGAAACCAAATCCCATGAGGTTTTTGGCTGTACATAAGCAGTCTCAGCAGCTTTTCTGTCATTTTTGTAAATATATCTATCACACAACTTTTGCCAATTCAACTTTTTACAGGCAATTTACTGATAGCAATTAAAATAATCAGCTGTGCAACCCTACCCTTAATGCAATATTTCCATCACCATTAACCCCTTCCCTGCCCCTGGTAACCACTAATAAACTTTGTCCTCTACACATTTGCCTTTTCTTGTCTTTTTATGTAAGTTAGGTCATATACTATTTGTCCTTTTGTGATTGACTTATTTCATTCAGCATAATGTCTTCCAGCTCCTACTGGCTGAGTAGTATTCCATTCTATGTATGTACACATTTTCTTTATCCATTCATCTGCTGACAGGCATTTAGGCTGTTTCTACCTTTTGGCTGTTGTGAATAGTGCTGCAATGAACACTGGTGTACAAGTCTCTGTTTGACTCTCTGCTTTCAAGTCTTTTGGGTATACACCTAGGAGTAGAACTGCTGGGTCATATGATGCTTCTATTTTTAGCGTTTTGAGGAACCGCCACACTGTTTTCCACAATGGCTGTATCATTTTGCATTACCGTTGTATCTACATACCAGCAATGGGTAAGGGTTCCAACTTCCCCATATTCTCACCAAACATTTGTTATTTTCTTTTTTAAAAAATCTTAGCCATCCTAGTGGGGGTGAAATGGTTGTTGTTTTGATTTGCATCTCTCTGACAGCTAATGACACTGAACATCTTTTCATGTGTTTGGTGGCCATTTGAATGTCCTCTTTGGGGCAATGTCTATTCAAGTCCTTTGCCCATTTTATGATTATTTGTCTTTTTGTTGTTACACTCTATTCTTAAAGTAGCTGCACCTTTTTAAAATATACCCTCTCCCTTCCCGTTTGGGTTGGAAGGTGTCTCTCAATCCCTCCCGGCCTAGAAACTTGGCCAGCTTACAGACTTGGAGCCAGAGTCCCAAGTGGCTCCTGTATGCCTAACTCATCTGAACCACACCTCTGTGTCTCTGGGAGGCTTGGACATACAAGAGCCTCCTCACCACCTGGTTTTGGCAGCATGCAGGGAAGGCTTCTGCCTTAAGCAACAATGGACTGCAAAATAGGGCTGCAGAGGGTGGAGAGCCAGGGGAAGCAAAAGGAATTTTCAAAGGTAGGTCCACACTGATGTCAGGCACAGGATGCCTGCCTGGGCCTAAGGCTCTGCTCCCCACTCTGACTGTTCACTCTGGGAAGGGTTTCTCCTAACCCAGGCAGCGTCCCAAGCAGTCAATCATTGGCAGAACAGATGACAGTAAGATTCAAGAGAGTGTGGACACTGTTAACGCAGTGAGTGCCCTCTGCTACAGGGCACTGGGGGGCAAGAGCAGCTTGGCCCAGAGGGCATGCTACTGCATACTGACCATATGCCCAGCACCTTTCACCTCACTTTACTGAATC